TATATATATATATATATATATATATATATATATATATATATATATATATATATATATATATATATATATATATATATATATATATATATATATATATATATATATATATATATATATATATATATATATATATATATATATATATATATATATATATATATATATATGATGACACTATATTCCGGGATATCATCCGTTCGCTCGTTGAACTCCGACTGGAATCCTGCAAATCCTGCATCCGACTGGAATCCTGCAGACGTTTCGCCAAAATCTCACTTGGCATCTTCGATGCTCGCGCTCCGAAAACACTTCGAACACTGGGAGGTTATCGGCGGTGCGTCCGGTATTTATACTCTGCGCCGGAGATGGTAACGGTGCTGCTTGTGCGTGGGGGGAGGTGGCTCCGCCCCCTGAATTGTCGCGTTGTTAATTTCGCCCGATCGTAGTTGCGATGTCCCCGTTGGCTGCTGCGCATCGCTCTGCTGTTTGATTATCGTTCTCCACGTGTTGGATAAATGCAGAGCGTCGTCTCTCGTATTGAGGTGTCCGGACTTTTCTATTTCGATGGCCTCTCGTATAATCCTAGTCCTAAAATCAGGAATATTAGCTATTTGTTTGCAAGTGCCGAAATCAATTTTATGGCCTGTCTGATGTTGGTGCTGAAACAAAGCAGATGTTGTTTGTTTGTTTCTTATGGCTCAACGATGTTCCTCGAGCCTGGCTGAAATCCTTCTGTTGGTCTGTCCCACATACGTCAGGCTGCACGATCCGCACGCTACACTGTATACTCCTTGGTTTTCCAGAGTAATTTTTTGTTTTGGGTTTCTTAGTATTGCTCCGATGGTATGGTCAGGTTTGTATGCCGTTGGTATGTCGTGTTTCCGTAATATTGGGCCGATTTTGTCAGTAACCCCCTTGATGTATGGCAGGACAGCGATCGATCTTCGTTGGGTCTCGTCCTGCACTCTCTGCTGCGGCTGTTGTTGTTTACTGATTGCCTTGCTGATTGCCTTTGGTATCCGTTTTGTCGAAGACAGGTACTAATTTTCTTCAGTTCTTTATCTCTGTTCCTCTCGTTTGTGAGCCTGAAGGACCGAGCAATTAATGTATTTGTCACTGCCTGTATCTGTGATGGGTGGTGATGAGATTTAGCGTTCAGATATCTATTAGTGTGTGTTGGTTTTCTATAGACAGTGTGTTCCAAGTGTCCATCTTCGGTCCTTGTGATGTGCACATCTAAAAAGGGCAGAATGTTATCCTCTTCAAGTTCTATTGTAAATTGAATCCTTGGGTGAATGGAATTCAGATGATCTAGGAATTTCAAAAGCTCCTCCTTGCCAAAAGTCCATACAACAAATACGTCATCAACGTATCTTGTCCATAGTTTTGGTTTCAGATTTGCCTTCTTTATTGCTTTCTTTTCGAAGTAAATCATAAAGAGGTTGGCAATCACAGGTGAGAGAGATGATCCCATTGCTGCTCCATCTATTTGTCGGTAAATTTTCCCGTTGTACATAAAATAAACGTTTTTTAGGCAATGTCTTGACAGATCCATTATGTATGGCGGAAGATCTTCGTTTTCTTCTATAAGCAAGAGTGCCTCTTCTACTGGAATACTCGGGTAGAGGGATTTGACATCGAAACTTGCCATAATGTCGTCCTTGTCCATCCTGAGAGAACCTAAAATCTGAGTGAAATGTTCTGAGTTTTTAACATAGGAATCTGCCTTTTCCACTATAGGCTGAAGCGCACTGGCCAGATGTTTTTCCAGCTTGCATAATGGTGAGTTAAAGGCGCTTACGATTGGACGCAGGGGAACCCCGTCCTTATGGATCTTTGGGAGCCCGTAGAATTTTGGGCAACGACTCGATTTTTCCCTGGGAATAAGTTTCTTCTTTGTATCCTCGTTTATTGATGAATCGAGAATTTTGGACTTAGTTGTTTTTTCCAAATATGTCGTGGGATCTCTGGTGACTAGTTTGTATATTGGGTCGTTCAAAATATCCTCCAATTTTGCATTATAATCCGACGTAATCATGACGACAGTGGCATTTCCTTTGTCTGCTGGCATTATTAGAATGTTTTCGTTTTTGTTTAGATTCCTTAAGGCTTGCATTTCTTCTCTGCTTAAGTTTGGTTGCGGTGGTTTTTACTGTCTTAAGACTCTGGCGACATCTTGCCTAATTAACTCCGCATCTTGTTCGTCTATGGTGGAAAGACTTGCGTCCGATATATCTCTCGTTGCACGTGGTGAGTCACGCGTTCTTCTCTCGTTCGAGGCTGAGTTGCCCAAGCGCGTATACGGGGCGTTGCCAGAAGTCGGGAGCGCAATTAAAACGACGATGCTCGCAGTTAGCAAATCGGCTACCGCGGAATCGGGGCGTGAAAACTGACCGCTCGCCTCGCAATTAGAATCGATTGTTGCGATTTCTATTATTTAAATTTCGTTATTTAACGAGATTTTTGTCGGTTTGAGGCGCTCCGTTGCGAGCAAATTAGGCGGGTTGAGTGACCGAAACAAAAAAAAGAAATCTGGACTGACATTGGCCTAATTCGGGAAAGAAGCTGACGAAAACGGCATAAAACACAAGCTGAATAAAAATAAGCCATTGACCACAAAAGGAAAAGCCCCGGAACCGAAATTCCAGGGGAATTTCAACTAATTCGAGAGGAAATTCGACAAAGGATTTCAGAGACATTTGTATCGCAATTCCAAAGTACTTCACGACGAATTTCAGATCAATTTCAACTAATTAAGCGGAATTCTAAAGAATTTCACGAAGCATTCAAAACGAATTTCAATTAATTTTAGAAGAATTTCAAAGAATTTCAGAGGAATAAGATTTCATAGAATTATCTTTACAGTTTGAAGAGTATTACTCTATTATCTTATGCAAAATGACACAACATCATATTTTTAGATGGAATCCCCTATATATTATTCGCTTTAATCTTATATCTTATTTTCCTGATTTCAAAAACATATAGTTTATTTACATTTCATTGAGCAGTTTTTGAGATATTTCAGTTTTAAAATAATTATCAATCGATTTCTGGACAATAGCCATATTGTTTAAAAATGGTCAAATCTGCCTTGATGGCAACCATATTATCTATGTTTGCAACAACAACAACTAATCAAAACTGAAGATCTACAGCGTAAGTTAAGTAACTTTCAGGCTTATTATAATAAATTTTATTTTTTAAGTATAGTCACAAAAAAATGTCACAAGGATACAGGTCGGGGCTGTTGGCAGGCCATTTGATAGTTCCTTGCCTCCCAATCCAAAGTCTATTAGATAATCGGCAACCATTTGGACATTATGTGGAGGTGCGCCATTTTGATGCCAAATTAAATTTAAATAGTTCTTAGCTGTAACAACGGTTCTATTTCTGTTGCAAGGAAATTAAAATATGTTTGGCCATTCAAGGATCGTTCGTATATAATCGGTCCGACCACCATATTGTTCAACATACCACACCATACATTAACTGACATCCGTCTTTGGAGTTTCACTGCCTGCATTTTGTGTGGATTATTGGTAGACCAGAAATGTTTATTCTTCCTATTAAATAGACCTGCTGTTAAGAACGAAGCCTCATCCATGTATATTATTTTATTTAGAAAATTGCCATCTTCTTGAGATCATCTATACATTTCAGTGCAAAAAAGACACTATTATTTACTACAAATCACTTTATCAGTCTGATATGCTAGTTATTTAATAATAAATAAATATACTTTTTTTTGTTTAAAATATATTTATTTAATGTGGTTTTTGAAGTGAGCGATTCAATTAATTTTTTAATGTGTTTGGGGGAAAATTTCATGCAGAAAAAAAAACAGATAACTAACATGTTGTTTGAATTTTACGTGGAACACATAGTTACGCTGGGAGACTCTCAGATGCCTATTGTTGTTTTAAATAACGGTTCCACAGATCAGTGTGTATAATGCCGATTTCGAAATAATATTAAGTAAAACATTTCTTGAATGAGTGAATATCAACCGATCTGAGAAATGGTAAGATCTACAAAAGTTTTATTCAACATTTTCTTGTCTTCACTTAATTTTTAATGTCAATTTTCATATAAGTCTACCAAATAGACAAGTAAAGCTTGTTTTGCTTTGTGCTAAAATAGAAGACGTTTAAGTGATGAACATGGTACTGTGTTGCCACGTCTCGATTTTTGTAAATTGACTCTGTTTTTTCGCAATTATCGATCTTTATATTATATATTATAAAATAATAATAACAATCTTTATTGAGACGTAGTTTGATGCAAGGATCGGATAATAATATCGGATTTTGACACAGAAAAACAGAATGATAACAAGTTACAATTTAAATTTGAACTGGTCAATTGAAAAGTCCTTACAATAAAATGTCTCCCAAAACACCACAAATCTAAAAAAACTATTTATCTTGCTTCTCAGTTGTTCGAAATTTAACTTTTTAGGTTTCTATTCTAATGTTCCCATTATGGCGGGAAGGGATGTCCTCAGGGATATTTAGAGGATATCTGTGGTGAATCCAGTGAATCCACAGCACGAACTTCAATTTTTTATTTTGTATTTTATACCTGTTCAAAAAAAGCTAACAAAAAAACCATTCACTTAAGAACTTTAATTCAATAACAAGAACTTTTTTTTTAAACTTAGTGCCCTTAGTTTTTGTGATACCGAGTAGAAAAAATATCCTCACCCCACGTCCTTGCGGAGTAAGTGTAGCTTTTGAACAATAAAATAAACGAATCCAACGTGTCGCAACGGCGCGCCTTGTGCGTATCGTAAAAAATATCGTTTAAGCGTCGAAAAAAAAAAACGAACGTTTGTCAAGAATAATGCATCATACATCATCCGAGCGTTTCAGATAGACCGAAGGATAAGGAACATAAAACATTGACACACTTATTAAGCTGCTCTCAACCTTGTTAACACCTCTTGCCCAATATCGTCGACAATTTGACCGTTGTTAGACATTGTTTTCGCGTTTCAGACGAGTCCGACACCTACATGGAACCTTTGGACGATCACGAACCGTCTTCTACGAACCTCCACGGTAACGGGCAGTGGTTCCCTTCCTTTGCTCGATTCGATCAGCCGCCGCTCGGTCACTCGAGGCCTTTCTTCAATACGTTCCAGCAGCAAGAGGGCGCTTTCAGTCAGCGATCGGAACCGCCGTACCAGCAGCAGGTGGACAAAGAAGTTCTCCCCCAACAACAGCCTCAGGAACGTGTCGACGCTGCCGCGTCTATCTTGGGCGACGGCAACTTTGGAGTAATCGAAGGCGGTACTTTCTACCCTCAAAAAGACGGCTACGACTCTGAAGGAGGTTTCGACGACTACAGCACGTACTTCCACAATGGACACGGCAGACCTTCGTTCGTGTACGGTCGAAAACCCAACCCGAAGGCTTACACTCACAAGCAGTTCGAGAACTTTCGGGATTTCGCTGACATAAACACCACACCGGATAGGCAGTACTCCCAGTACGTCGTCGTGTACACAAACAAGAACGGCGAGGAGCAACTGGCGAAGCAGCCCAAACAGCCCAAGAATATCATCGAAAGCTTGGCGATGTTGGAAGAAGAAGCAACTAAAGGAGCCGCGCCAGTACCTACGAAGAAGCTGTCAAAGTCGAAGATGAAACTCGCGCTGCTGCTTCCCGAGAAGAAGCACCGGGCCAGACTGCTGAAGAAGGAAAAGGAGACCAGCGAGCCGCTGTTAGCGCTGAGCTGAGATCACGACGGGGTGAGTTAGAGGTTTCAAACAGGTACTGGATGTGGGAAGAATTTGTGTTTTTCAAACTCCAGTTTTTTGGGGTCGTTAAAAAAATATTAAGGGTTAAGTTTGGACGTACCGAATTGCATTTTGTTTATTCTACGGTTCGACGTTAGTGTAACTATCAAACTCACTTTTATTTTTGTCCATTTACCAAATTTGTTTTGAAAGAAATAAATTAATACACGTTCTATAATAGAAAATTAGTTACGGGTTACCGTGATTTTATTTTTGTTGAAAAATTATTTTTCCTTTTTTTTTAAGAAGCATTCTTATTATTGAATAGAAATGATGAAGATTTTTCAAATCTATGTTGCTTTAAATCGCGCAAATGTAGTGGTCATAAGATCGGCCATCGTAATACCCTCTATAAACCTGATGAATTTATAAGCACCCACCCTTATCCCCAATGTCTTGGATATTTTCATTGTTATTTGTGCCTAGGCACACGTCGCAAACTATAGCGTAGAAAAAAGCGTTTGCTTCCTAGTTTTAGTTAGCCTAGTTATTACGGAGAAAGAAAATTGTTGTTTTTTTTATATTCAGATTTTATCGGTAGACATCTAATTTACATTACGAATGAATAATTACCTCCAAGTTTGTATTAGCGATGAGTTTTTTTGACTGAATTTTAGGCTAAGTACTCTTAGTTTTAAGTAAATAATTTCTCTCGTCCCGCATGTATGAAATCAACCCTATTTTTGTAAAAATAAATGATATTTTAAAACGACGTTTTTGTTTTATTTCGGACACAGCATAGATGGCCGGCGTCATAGTTTCCTTCTGGCAAATATTAGCCGAGAGGCAAACGGCATTTCCACTCGCCCGGAGACACAAACTTTTCCTACCGTCCGACAGATGGCCCTCCTTGCCACATTAAAGATTCGTGTAATACTTTTTGTCTAAAGAACGGCCTTTTTTATAGTTTTATTATCAAAACTAGCTTTAGTATTTTGTGATTATTTTATTATTATTCGCGCCCTGAAGAGCCGGTTATACATTTTTGTCCCCTCCGGAAGTAAGGGACTAAATAGCGGAAACAAAAAGTGCGGAAGGCGACATTTTCCGCGGGGCAAATTAGATTTTCGTCCCCGTAAAAATGAAAAACAACCCCCGGAAGAATTAAAACCGGAATTGAAGCCGTATTTATTCGTTAGCGCGGGTATAGATGGCGGCCGGGTTATGACGTCTTTGCCGCCGAGGGAATCCCTTGTTAATTACGACGTACAAGGGCGCTTCCGACGGACGGCGTCCCTCGACGGCGTCGCGGCGACTGACCATATTACGGGGCTCTTATTTTCGCGTATATCGCGCGGGACCTTAAAAGGGTTTAGCCGTTAATACGGTCCCGAGGGATGACGATTTCGTCGCACGTCCGATTTCGCGTCTGGATTAACCCGCGTTTAGTCTTCGTATTTGTACCTGAATTTTTCTACCAATAAAATTTTTTCTGTATTTTTGAAAAAATTTGAAGAAAGTATCACGTGCTTTTTTCTGGATTATTAATTGAAATAAAAAAACATGAATAGCGATATACTCTCTCCAGACAATCTTATTTGAAAAAGATAATTTTTTTAAAAATCAAATGTACCCAGCGCATCCGCCAAAATTAAAGAAGGTATCGGTTGTCTAGTGTTATTGGTTCTTTATACTTACTGAGGTGCCACCTCTAATCACGCCATTTCTTATTTTTTTAGTAATGATTAAACACCATAAAACAAAATCATTTAAAGTTTTTAGATTTTTTTTTGTATCTCAGGCGCGTTAGTTGAGAACTTGATAGAAAAAGTCAATTTTTACCAGCCCGCTCGAAGTTTGAAGTTTCATTCAATCAATAAGTTAATTTTTTGAAAAAAAAATGGAAAATTTGAGAAATTGGTATGCGAATGCGCATCTACCATAGCACCAATTTGAAATACAAGAAAAAATCGGCAATTTATGTTGCGTGGGGATTTTCTATAAAAATATTTCGAACAAAAAGGGCTGCAAGAAAGATTTAGTTTGGTGCCTTTTCGCTAAATCTTATATTCGTGCACCGGAAATGTCTCACAGAGATTGGTTTAAAAGGAAGTAATGAATATAATGAAAATATTAGAAGAATTAGAATGGAATTCGATAACAGCAGAATCATGTTTCTTGTCCACTTAAAACTGCTTTCTTTTCTTTTCTTCGTTTGTAGCAGTTTTCGGGAATACGCAAATGTTTATTTTACCAGCAAATAAGGAAACTTACGTGGAAATTGTAAAATAAATTCTCTATGCGAGACTCGCAATGCAAAATAAATAATTAGAATTAATACACAAAAACAATTTTATCGCTACCCATCCACATAAACACTTCATTGGATAAAAATTTTTGTATTATAGTAATTAAATAAATAAAAAAGTGAGGCTTTGCTCTCCAGAAATCGGCTGATAGTTGTGTAGACTGTTTTGAAGCACAAGATCAGGACGCTTCCGTCGGTATACCTGTTCGAGATCCTAGTAGAACTTAGAACTTGATAGTTAAAATATTACGAATTCGTCAGAGTGCTGTTAATAAACAATATATACTAGATTTTAGCGAATCGCTTTAGTAAAATCGACATTGAAATATGAATGTAAATATTGCTCACTAGAACTTATTTTATGTGTTTGCTACTTAGGTGTTTTTGCAAATATATAAGTACTCTATGCAAAATTTATATTTATAAAAAAAAAGCATTTATCTTTATCTTTATTGGATTTTCGGAAAATTCTATTAAACAAATATACAAAACTTTCCCACTTTTATCGAAACCTGTTAACATTCTCTTTAATAAATATCTAGGTCTCTCTTACGTCATTTTGCCAAGGTTTTTGTGGCTGCAATTTTTTCACTGCTGTTTTTTCTAGTAAAAAATTACGCAGATCCAAATCGACATGGTTTTTACAAAAAAAAATTCCATGCATATTGGTTGTGAGATCCAACGCTGTTACCTCGGATGTTCCCCAGAGATCTCATCTGGGCCCTTTATCCTGTAATATTTTCATTTGCGATGCTGGTTTGCCGATGATTTAAACGTAGAACAACAGATTTGTTCGCGCGTAACACACTCCAAACCTAAAATCTTACCTCGAAACGATTGGATTATAATCTATCATATTGTTGGCTAGCAGCGTTCAATTGCTTACAAACAAACAAAAATCTAACCGATGGAACATATTAGATCGTTCCAAGTATTAAAACGTACTGTCATGAGAAACGATTACTGATTTGAATACAGCATTTTAAACTGCTTCCTCCTTTATAAAATTTTGTGTTCGTTACGCAGATTGTTGGTTATTTTCGTCCCGCCATAAGGAAAATTACCGTCGAGTGAGCTGGAGCCGTAGGATGCTGCGGCAATGCGAAAAATGATTTTATGTTACAGGCATTGGGGACACTTCAAGTGTAATTAAATGAAAACACTTAAAAAACACCTGTAAAATAACAATTTTAAATTCTTACACTGGTTATATATTTAATTAATTACTACGACTCTGTCAATGTGTCATTTCATTTTTTTAAATTTTATTTATTTTATTTATATACAAGTCTTTCCTACAAACTGAAAAGGAAATACTTTGTCAGTGGATCAGTTTTTACCAGTTAAATCTAATTAAATAGTAATTACAGCTTTTTATTCGAGAATGTTAATTGGTACACCATCTTAAAAGTAAAGAAAAATGCTTTTTCCCTCCGAAATTACTTATTTTGTTGCACGTAAGAATGCATTACATGTGTCAAAAAAAAAAAAAAAACTCGAAACATACAAAAATATACTGGTGCGTAAACGAACCATCTGACCTTTCTTCCATTTGACAGTAGAAGCAAGCCCGTTGTTTGCAGAAAGCATACGTCTTCTTTTGAATTCCAGGGTTTCATCATCTGATGAGTTTCATTCAGGTTCAGTAGTTGATGAATTAGAGGACTCTTGAAGGACAGCTTTATCATTCGGTGTATCTAACTCGAAAGTTCCAACTATATCAGTTGGTTCCCCAAACTCTTGTAGATTTATGTTATCGTTCATATCTTCTTCGTCAGTCAAGGTATCCACGTCGGGTGTATGTTCTATAAATATTTTTTCACGCCATTTTTGACGTAAATTTACAAGGAATCGAATGTTACAATACATATGAATACGTAAATCGAAATAATACTTGCGACTTTCATTGTTATTGTCCTCATCCATCACGATCTCCTCCACAGCCGTCTCTAATTCATTTTGAGTCAAATACTTTGGAAATGCCATATTTTAAGAACAAATACTAAAGAACACGCTAATTGTTGGATGTTTCTTTTACATGCGCTGACTTGTCTAGACTTGCAATAACAAAGTTTTGTTTGACAGATAAAACCAGTGGTGCATTCACGCACCAGTAATATTTTCAAAAAATAAAGCATAATCAATATATTATTTCCAGTGAATGTTTTCTGCGATGTAATCTACATACTATAAACTTAACACAAATGGCAATATTTTTTTTCTATTTTGGATTTACTTGAAAATGTAACACACATACACATAAATTAACGATTTCTACGGTTTTATGTCCTTTAGTAGTTACAGTAAAAAAAATTCTAAATGGATGTGCAAAAATATTTCCTGGATGTGACAAAAAAAAATCATAGAATATGTGTTGCATTAACGCACCACTTGGAAAAAATGGGTTAAGTGTCATTTAAAGCTTTCAAAACTCAGAGCAAATAGATCAATATAAGGAAACGCGTTCTCTACCCTGTTAGAATTACGGGTACATCTGATAGTTGGAGTGTTAAAAGAGTACTTTGAATGATACAGCTAACATTTGCCTGTTTCAAAAAATGTAGGTATTACAACTAAAGTGTGTTAAGGGGATTCAATCAAATTATTTCGAACTTTATAAAGAAACAGTAAATCAAAATTTGGTATACGATTTTCCAAAAATAGGCTTTCACTCTAACTAAAAAAATGTGCCTGTCTAGTAAATATATAATATTTAAATTAGATTGGATTTCAGACTTTCGTAGCATATTCCACACGGGTCTGACAAGACTGTAAAAAAGTCTTATCAGTAGTAGAATAAAATCAAAACTCTTTAGAGTCTTTTTAACATTTTTTTCTACGTGTACTTAAAAAAGAAGCCCCGAATTCACTGTAATCTGAAAAGTCCAGTTTGTGTTCAATTGCGGTAATTTTTTTGTTAACAAAATACATTTCCCAGGGTAACAAACAATCTTGTCTTCCACAAAACTTTGACAAATCTCTCTGCAACAATACGTAATATGCCACAGAGTAAACCAATTTTAAAATTTTTAGATCATCTGCGTCTGCTTTCCTACCCAGTACGATCGCAATTATTTTCTAAGCGTCGAACTTCAGCTATTTAGTATCAGACTGTACCTACCTTTAATTAAAAATTGGCTTCTTAATTTAAGTAAACGATTTTTTTAAGCCAGGCCTAAAAAGAGTGCTTTTTTTCGATCCTATCAAAGACCCGCTTTAGCACTCGCGTTTAACCGCCCCCTCCCCGTCGCGTTCTACGCCACGTCGTTGGAAATCCGATTTTAACTTACCCGATTAATTTAACTTATTCGGCGGAAGGGGTGGGGCCACAACCGCGTCCCATCGTGCGACGTACGTCTTAAACGGCAGGTGAAATTTTGATTAATTAATACGCATCCGGTATGTACGCGCGGGAGATGACGTCTTCCCTAATTATTCAAGGGATAGACAGTCACCCC